CAAGTCTGGAATATCTCACAAGAGCTGCAAGAACCACACCAGAGTCACACCAATTCACTATTAGTTTTCAAAATGCAATTCGCGCGTGAATGTCTTCCAACTTGCTTAGCCCATTATTTAAAAGAATCATCTTCGACACTCCAACGTCGTTGCAGGGAGAAAGCGGACATGACGTCGGGAGAAGTTTACCACAAGCTAAGGAGACAATTTTAAAGGGCATTAAATTGATACCTAACTTCCGTGCACAGTTGGCTCCTATGAAAGCTATTCCGGGAACATTTGGCTAGGCCTACTAAGATATATATGTAAGAGGTCCATTTGTTAAGTAAGTTTCCATAATACGAGGGGGGATGAACAATACATTTATTCAAACCAGAGGTTCGGAGGTTAAACATATAACGTGGGGGACCCTACCAACTAGCTTGACCGAGCGACAATTGCGTTTGTTTGTGCTTGTGTGCATGACAGTTCTATAGGCATAACGCGTCCAGATTTGAACTTGGTATTTAGACACAACTCTACCACATCAACCGAGGATGCGCCTTTCAAAAATGAAATTTTTAAATCGGCCTCACGAAAGGGAGGGGAGGAACCTTTCTCGAGAAAACGGAGATTTGCTCAATTCTCACCATCTCTCGGATGAACGAGAAGACGAGAGTTGCCCTATTGCTCGCAAGGAAACGCTAGCATCGCTCACTGCAGTGCCTCCCGCCTGATGTCAGGAATCCAGAGAATTTAAGCGTCCATGATGAAATCACACGGGCACCGCAAAGAAGTACTTGACCGCAGTTTGCTCGTGTACTCAAACTCTCAAATTGCATGATTTTAGAATTGCAGAATGATGTCATCATTTCACACTGCTTACATCATCTTCAGTCTCTTGAAAACGCTGAAGAAGGACGCAAGAAAGCTAACGACAACGAGAGTTCTTCAATGGTTACATCGTTTTACCGTATCGCAGTCACAATGGTAGATGGAAACAAAATTTAAAGGATAACCTATGGCACAGCGAGCTTCGAGTAATAAAAAAAAACTTTTCAGGGACTATTTTTTTACCTGAACGGAATCATTAAACGGCTACAGGAAATCTGGATATAGAATATATTCCTTTATTCACTGACATGCAGTAAATGATGGACAACTGATAAGCCTTAACCAAGATTTAGTGCTCCACGAGAAACTTCAGGAAGTTACCCGTACCGGCAATGGGATCTGTAAGAAGGAAATCGAATTATGCACAAACGATTAAAAACCATGCAAAGACATAAATGACTATGAAGGCATATGAAGCTGTAAGACCTGATAACATCGAAGCTGTCATATTCCAAAATTATAATTGTAGCAATTTCACAAATTCGCAATTTCAATAGCAACATTGTAGCGATTTCGAGTAAACGAGGTTGATGACGGCTGAGGAACACGATGGATTTCGTGGCTCTGTCACAGAGATATATTCCTAGCCGACACACAGTACATGATGAGAAGTGTACTGAAGCAAGAGGGAAGACTCACTCAGGCAGTTGTAGAAGTAGCATTCGCAAGTGTTGGACCCCACATGGGAAACACTCTGGACGTCGTGACTGATTGAACAACATAAATCAATGCAGAGGTCGCACTGCGCAGGTGTGCCGCGACAGCAGGGTAACCAACCCGGACAAGACTTTTGATTCATTGGATTTGCATCTGGGAAAAAACAAAATCAAAAAGAAAACCACACCATGACCGGGGAGTATTCCGATCCTGCATTATATAGGCGATTTCAATTTTTCACAAGCGTTCATGCCACCTGTGCTAATATATGGGATGAATATATAACCCATACTCAATTTTCTCTTAGAGATTTTATCATTTGTATTCAACTACGAGACCTTTTCGACATGCCATATTTAAGGTAGCAAAGGACACTATGGGAAACAAACGAGCAGCAAGAATTATTGGGGGATGGCTTTCAACACTTTCACCGCTGAGTTACATTCGGGACCCTGGCTGAGAGCGATGATGGATTAGGAGTGGACACGGGGGAACCGCGATGAGAGGTTCAATCGGACGAAAAAAATAAGAAGAAATAAATATAAATTGAAAGCGGAAATAACCAGGACATTCTGGATCAAAGCAGAGTTCCATGGAGATTCAATTTTTCGATTTGGAACGTTAAGGAAATGGAAATTCACTCACAAGCAACAGCGCAGAGCGCAAAGAGGGCGAAGAGAAACTTCATATTGCTGTCTTTCGGATTCCCGATGGGATCTTTCGTCCACTCGGCTGTGTAGCTGAAGCTTGACGATGAGGATCTCCGGACCTTCGTCAGCTTTTATAGGCCTGTAAATCCGACAACGTATATACGTGGGAAAGTGATCATCCTGTCTCTCAGATCCGGTCTACAAGGGGCGGGCTTTATCTCGTCCTGAGGATTGCATGAAATTCCCGGAAGCATGTTGAAATGCTTCACCTGTATATCTGGACGTCTCTGGGAATATTTGTCGAGTCTTGGAGTCTAATGACTCCAAGGCTTCCAAAAGGGCAACCTCCTAAAAAAAAAAACCTCACTGTGTCAAGTCTGGATTATGTCACAAGAGCTGCAAGAACCATCGGACGTCATAACATGCAACGTAGATTCCGCTCCTCGTCGCCTAGGAACGGCATTCTGTGATTTTCTTGCATTCTTTATCGAAAAATATGCCTTTAACATGGAATTTCCCTCGTAACCAAACATATGCTTTAAAGGCCATTGTGAGGTTCATCAGTGATGAGAAGGAAATCCGCTTTTCTTCGAAAGAACGGGACACCATTGAGTCGCAGGATGTGACTCGATGCAGGGTAAGCATGTTGAAATGCTTCCTCTGTATATCTGGACGTGGGATTTTGAGATCCATCGTCTCTGGGAATATTTTCCGAGTTTTGGAGTCTATTGACTCCAAGGCTTTCAAAAGGGCAAGCTCCTCAACAACAACAAAAATTCACAGTGTCAAGTCTGGATTCAACGTCATGCCATTTTTTCGGTCAAAATACGCTTCGTGAATGTAGTACTGCTGGGAAATGGGCAAACTGTGACTGCCGATTGGTACACAAAAGTTTTACCTGCCGGCAGTGTTCAACGTCCAAAAGGAGAAGTGGAAGAAGTGCAGCCTGAAGGGGATGTTGATGCATCACAAAAAACGCCCCAGCTCACAAGGCGAAGATGACGGCATTTGAGTTGGAGAAATGGAAAATGAAAGATTTGCCACATCTGGCATATTCACCGAACTTTGCACTTGTGGCTTTTAGCTGCTCATAAAAAATGAAGCTGGATCAGCGTGGGATTGCACTTCATAGGGAGGAGCAGTTGAAGAAAAGCATGGACGGGGTCCATGCGTTTCTGAGAGTGTTCTGATATGTCCTTTAGGCGCATGAAAAAGTGCATCATTCTCTCTAGGGGTTATGTTTTAAAGACATGAATACAAGAAGATTCTGAACCAAGAAGAACTTTGCCCTAACATCAATTCATGGCATTGAACCCAGAAATGATTGTGGGGGGCTCGTTTATGGAGTGGCAAGACACCTAAGGCAGTATCGTCGATCGATATAGCAATAATATACATTCCGGCACTAAAGCTAAATCAATCAACGTGAATGTGGAAAAAAAATCTCATTTGGAAAAAAAAGTGTACCTTCACTTGTTTGAAAAGAGAAAAAGGAAGGTCTCTTCGTTGAAAATCGAAGGTCGTGTGAAAATCAGCATCAATGAACGAATCTGGAAAAAAGGCTATGAACAGAAATGTACTGAATTCAAGATGAGAGTTACAACGGACTCAATACATGGTGTCCTTCTTGGTGACTGTCTTCTGAGATCGCTGGGGCGTGCTTCTAAAGGATTTTCTTGAGTCGCATAGAACGTTACATCTGTGCACTCAAAAAGAATAAACATGAAGAAAAGATTTAAAAGATTTGATCAACTTGTTTGAATAGGTTAATGGAATGGAAGCACACCGGCATTGCTTTCGTTATGCCCCTCGTACTTTCAATTATTATCAACTAAAATTGTAGCGCTAATGGAGGGCCACCCAGTAGACTATTTTGATGATGGTTCCCAGGAAGTCTTAGACTCGAATGCTGAAACCTCATTTAGGGGAGATGAACCAGGCTTAAAGGTAAAGAGCACTTTTTCCTCCAAAGGATCCCATGTACTCTTTATGGAGTGAAGGAGGTTTCAGCATTCGGACCCTCGTCCCCTTTCAAAGTTAAACTTTTGTGATTTGAGTGGAATATTCCGTCTGGGAAGGGGGGGAGGAGGAATTTCCCGTCTAGATTGTTATTACTTTCGTGAAATGGACCGTCAAGAAAGTGCCATTCGGGGAAGAGTCATTTCAAAGAACAGGTCTTCCTGGGATAAGACCGCTCCGAGATAAGTCCGCTTTGTTCATTGGAATACATTTCCGGGAATAAACAATTCTGGGAATTATCTTTCGGGGAATAGCCCGTGACTCGATGGTGTCCCGTTCTTTCGAAGAAAAGCGGATTTCCTTCTTATCGCTGATGAACCTCGCAATGGCCTCGAAACCGTATGTTTGGTTACGAGGGAAATTCCATGTTAAAGGCATATTTTTCGATAAAGAATGCAAGAAAATCACAGAATGCCGTTCCTAGGCGACGAGGAGCGGAATCTACGTTGCATGTTATGACGTCCTATGGTTCTTGCAGCTCTTGTGAGATATTCCAGACTTGACACAGTGAGGTTTTTTTTTTTAGGAGGTTGCCCTTTTAGAAGCCTTGGAGTCATTAGACTCCAAGACTCGACAAATTTTCCCAGAGACGATGGATCTCAAAATCACACGTCCAGATATAGAGGTGAAGCATTTCAACATGCTTCCGGGAATTTCATGCAATCCTCAGTACGAAAAAAAGCCCGCCCCTTGTAGACCGGATCTGAGAGACAGGATGATCACTTTCCCACGTACATAGGTTGTCGGATTTACAGGCCTATAAAAGCTGGCGAAGGTCCGGAGATCCTCATCGTCAAGCTTCAGCTACACAGCCGAGTGGACGAAAGATCCCATCGGGAATCCGAAAGACAGCAATATGAAGTTTCTCTTCGCCCTCTTTGCGCTCTGCGCTGTTGCTTGTGAGTGAATTTCCATTTCCTTAACGTTCCAAATCGAAAATTGAATCTCCATGGAACTCTGCTTTGATCCAGAATGTCCTGGATATTTTCGCTTTCAATTTATATTTATTTCTTCTTTTTTTTTTTCGTCCGATTGAACCTCTCATCGCGGTTCCCCCGTGTCCACTCCTTATCCATCATCGCTCTCAGCCAGGGTCCCGAATGCAACTCAGCGGTGAAAGTGTTGAAAGTCATCTCCCAATAATTCTTGCTGCTCGTTTGTTTCCTATTGTATCCTTTGCTGCCTTAACGATGGCATGTCGAAAAGGTCTCGTAGTTGAATACAAATGATAAAATCTCTGAGAGAAAATTGAGTATGGGTTATATATTCATCCCATATATTAGCACAGGTGGCATGAACGCTTGTGAAAAATTGAAATCGCCTATATAAAGCAGGATAGGAATACTCCCCGGTCATGGTGTGGTTTTCTTTTTGATTTTGTTTTTTCCCCAGATGCAAATCCAATGAATCAAAAGTCTTGTCCGGGTTGGTTACCCTGCTGTCGCGGCACACCTGCGCAGTGCGACCTCTGCATTGATTTATGTTGTGCAATCAGTCACGACGTCCAGAGTGTTTCCCATGTGGGGTCCAACACTTGCGAATGCTACTTCTACAACTGCCTGAGTGAGTCTTCCCTCTTGCTTCAGTACACTTCTCATCATGTACTGTATGTCCGCTAGGAATATATCTCTGTGACAGTGCCACGAAATCCATCGTGTTCCTCAGCCGTCATCAACCTCGTTTACTCGAAATCGCTACAATGTTGCTATTGAAATTGCGAATTTGCGAAATTGCTACAATTATAATTTTGGAATATGACAGCTTCGATGTTATCAGGTCTTACAGCTTCATATGTCTTCATAGACATGTATGTCTTTGCATGGTTTGTAATCGTTTGCGCATAATTCGATTTCCTTCTTACAGATCCCATTGCAGGTACGGGTAACTTCCTCAAGTTTCTCGTGGAGTACTAAATCCTGGCTGAGGCTTATCAGTTGTCCATCATTTACTGCATGTCGGTGAATAAAGCAAGATATTCTATATCCAGATTCCCTGTAGTCTTTTAACGATTCCGTTCAGCTACAATGGTACCAAGTATTGACGATAAATATTCAACTAGCACTTCCATAGGCCCTGCACATCTTGATTTTCCTCCGACTGGTGACGAACTGAATATCTTCATATTAGATGCAGAGTAGATCTGTGCAAACCGGAGTGAAAAAAGTGGATTTTAAAAAATGCACCACATTTTCCTGATCCACACACCCAAACGCACGCACACTCATGGAAGCTCATATTTTCTTAATCCAATCATATTCCCAGAAAAATACGAAAACCATTCCGGAGAGCTAGAATTTTTACCCAATTCTTCTACTCTTAAAATGTTTCTGCAATCTACAGATGTACATATTTAATCGCTACCTTGTTATACTTATTTTCTCACAAGAATATTCGAAAAGCAGCATTTTAAAAACAAGAAAGTAATAATTCAGTCACTGACCAACGAAGCCGCAACAACTCCATGTTTGAATAGATTCAAGCTTTTTTCGCGATATATACCTAAAATATGCTGGGATGGTTATACCGGAACAAAAATTCAGTCATTCCGAATGAGTGGTCTCACTCACGTCGAGATATTTCAGGTTGGGCAGGAACCAGCCGCTTTCCTGAGCAGAGATTCCCCGGAGGATGAGTTTGAGATGATTTGTTTGCCCTTCGGGCAAGCAAACCCACTTCCTTTCACTGGGTTCCTGTTTTACTGGAATTAGATAGTATCATAGAAAACGGTTCTCCCAAAACTCACGGTGGTCCTCCAATTGCGCTCCAATTATCCTTCATATCCATCCATATCCATCCATATCTCTTCTCCATACCTTCTCTACACTCTGTCCCTAAAAAAAATATGTGAACCTTTTCCAATTTGTAGCTTCTCCTAGTTGGTTAGGACAATCGCTGCACGCTTTTGAGGTCTGACTAAGACATGAAATGAGCACTTGCACGCAAAGTTATATCAAAATCCATTGGTTAATTTCGGAGATGAAGCAGCTTTTTCTAAGTAAGGTTGCAGCGGACCATTGCCGCTGGCTGCACTCGGCGCAAGCATCGCCAGCCTAAGCGGGAACACACCGTTCCCCCCTCGCAGGAGTATGCGAACGGTACAAAGTTTGGGTTTCGATCAATGGCTTGTGCCTGTTCACAGAATGACACGGCGGGCAGTTCGAGCACCTCATTCGAGTGTCAAACAGGAAAGGTTAATGCTGCTGTCTTGGTCGTGCGCATCGCAATACATCGACATTCGAAGAAAAGTACACGCATTACGAGAAAATTTGTGATATTTCTCACATGATATACAACCATCTTTCTCTCTGCCGTGCTCCGATGTACGAGACCCGCTTCCTATTTGTATTTCCCCTATAGAGGAATGTCTTAGCCAGCTCCATGACGGTGACATTCGGAAACGAGAACCGCCGACAGGGAACGACATACTCTGCCGCGACCTGGCTCCCCCATCCCTCCTTTAGTAAGTTAAATATCATCTCTCTGTTCAATCGCTGTCTTAAAGTTATGATAAGTAACGCTTTTTAAATGTCATCGGCGAACACCCACATTTCTTCGGCATGTCGTACCTCAGCTGATTCCATAATAATTTTATATAATAAAAAAGCGGCTTAAATGTTTCTTGATGAAGTGTCGAAAAAATCAAGTTGTTTTGAGGAGCTCCACGCCAGAAGGGAAATCTTGGGAATGAATGAGAACTTCCATTGACCATATGATATTATGATAACTTTCCACTTTTTAACCAATTGGGCTTCACGTATTTTTAAATAATGAAAATAATGCAATTAATGATATGCAGATTAGATAAATTATCAAATCAATACGGTAATACGACTATTCATATTAATGGAGCGCTATTAATCTAAGGAGTAGCTTAAATTAATAATGACATCGCATTCAACCTGAAAAACATACGACACTCGGAAATGGTGATCGTCGAGCAGGGCGGGATTGGCTGGTTTTCTGCTATTTTCAGCAGTTAACGACTGAAAAATGATAATAGTCGAAGTAGTGTGAGGAATTCTTCTAACCTTGGAGAAGGCTTCATTGTTTTTATTGTTATTTTTCTGAGATGTCATGTGCAGAACTTTGAGGTTCGCACGATACTGGCTAGTGGACCTGCACACCTCGGATTTGCCCTAAAGTCAGACAGAAGCATCTGTCGGGAACCCGAGCGAGATGAACGATTCCTTAACTGAGGAGCAGGAACGTCCCTGACTGATGGCAGGGAATGGGCGTTTTCAAATTTGGCGTTTACCCGAGCCGAAGAAAGTCGAGAAACCTGAGAAGTGCCTGTCAATGGCTACATTGCCTTAAAACGCGAGGTTTCACTCACTTTGGGTTCTAGAAATATACGTCAATAGCTAAATGGGCTGGGACTTCCACATGCTTATCCAGTGCCTATTACGCTTCGTAACTAACTACGACATGGTTTTGAATCATTTGTGGCTCATGCAATGACTACTCATCACTTTGCTGCAATGGGCATGGAGGAGGGGGTGAAGAAGGAAAAATCCGTATTTCCATTCGCCTAATGCAATAATGATAGGGGAAAACACTCCGCATAGGAAATGTTTTGATGACTCTTGATTTAAAACTTCTCCCGTTTTGGTGAAGATCCAGCAATGGGAGGACGGGATCGTCGATGAGCCGGACAAAAAGTAATGATATTACTTGGAGCAATAATGCAGAACATGTGTTCTGCATTATTGAATCCGTGGAAGGCCAAAGAGTAATCGGTTTAGTTACATACGATTCCCGCACATACAGGAGTATATTGGTTTTTTTTATTTTCGGTCGTCAGCTGGGAACAGGTCTTCTCCCGCCCACGACATCGCAGTGGTGAAGCTGAGCCGGCCCCTGACCTTCTCGCCCTCCGTTCAACCGATCTGCATTCCCAAGTCCGACAGCTTCGAGGACGCCCGGACCTGCCCCATGAAAATATTCGGGTGGGGTATCACTTTCCCAATTATTATAATCCTCCCCGACATCCTGCGGAAATTGAATGCGACCGTAGAAGCCAAGGAAAAGTGCTAGGATGATTACAACATGGAATTCATATGCGTCAGTGGCTTAGCAGCACTATCTGGAAGTTGTCTAGTGAGTCATAGCAATTCACTATTAGTTTTCAAAATGCAATTCGCGCGTGAATGTCTTCCAACTTGCTTAGCCCATTATTTAAAAGAATCCTCTTCGACCCTCCAACGTCGTTGCAGGGAGAGAGCGGAGGACCGCTTGTAGTATATGTCAACGGAATAGCCTACGCCATGGGAGTGGACTCGCACCGAGTATCCATCTGCGGACTCCTGCCAGTTCGATACACCAGGGTCACCGCCGATGTTGTCTTCATCTATGATGCCGTCCTCAACGGATGAAATGGATCCACGGATGAAATTTCTCCTCGCGACTGCTCTGGAAATTTTCAAAATTTCATTTTTGAAAGACGCATCCTCGGTTGATGTGGTAGAGTTGTGTCTAAATACCAAGTTCAAATGTGGACGCGTTATGCCTATAGAACTGTCATGCACACAAGCACAAACAAACGCAATTGTCGCTCGGCCAAGCTAGTTGGTAGGGTCGCCCACGTTATATGTTTAACCTCCGAACCTCTGGTTTGAATAAATGTATTGTTCATCCCCCCTCGTATTATGGAAACTTACTTTACAAATGGACCTCTTACATATATATATTAGTAGGCCTAGCCAAATGTTCCCGGAATAGCTTTCATAGGAGCCAACTGTGCACGGAAGTTAGGTATCAATTTAATGCCCTTTAAAATTGTCTCCTTAGCTTGTGGTAAACTTCTCCCGACGTCAACGTTTCCAAAGCCCATAGAACACTGGCTGTAACCCTTTTTTGACGGGAAGCCATGCCGTAGGTGATGCCATCGTCACCTGTCGAGTATGACAGGCAACTCTCGTCTAATCGTCCATCCTGAAGATAGTGAGACGAGAGCGAATATTAGATTTTGCGAGAAAGTTGCCTCCACCCTTTCGTAAATTTAATATCACGAATGCACATCCTCGGATGATGAGGAAAGTTTAGGTGACAACCCCCAGTTCATATCTCGACGGGTTTGGCCTGTAGAACCAGTCACACAAACACACAATAGTCGCTCGGCCTAGTTGGCGGTCAGGACTGCGCACGATTTAAAAAAAAAATTTTTAACCTTGGTGTGAAATATGTCTACGGAAACGGAAGCTTTCTTCACAATTGAGGCCTTCACGATTCCTCGCACTGAATCCACTGCCGTATGAAAGGCCAGTCAGAAGATTTTCTGAAATGCTTTCGATCTATTGAATGCTAACCTCTGCTCTTAATGCCGATATTTTGGAATAACTCGTACAGGGCATAGCAGATGAGTGAAATTTGGCAAATCACGGCTTTTGGGAATGCACAAGAAACTATGATGTGAGGATTGTGCTTTTTTATTTTGTCATCTTGGATCTCTGGATCACTGAATAGTCGCCCCATATAGTTTGCGAACATTGGGCTTAATCTCTGCAAGAGCTCAGTGTCATGGATATTGTGTATGGACTCTCAGCAGCTTGGAATGCTGTAAGCAGTGAAATTATCCAAAAGTGCTTCAATAATTGTGGTTTTTGGAGTCTGAGCAAAATCACGCTGTCTGCTCCCGAGGACAACAGGGTCATCGACTTTCAGTTTGAGGAAATGAACCTGCTCATGGAGATCCTCCCCAGTGATGTTAATTCTGCTGACTTCCTGTCACTGGACGATTCCTTGCTAACTTGCAAGTCGCATTTTATTTGAAAGGACGACATCATAGATGAAGTCAACATCGGCGGTGACCCTGGTGTATCGACCTAGCAGGAGTCCACAAATGGATACTCGGTGCGAGTCCACTCCCATGGCGTAGGCTATTCCGTTGACATACACAACAATGGGTCGTCCGCTTTCTCCCTGCAACGACGTTGGAGTGTCGAAGATGATTCTTTTAAATAATGGGCTAAGCAAGTTGGAAGACATTCACGCGCGAATTGCATTTTGAAAACTAATAGTGAATTGGTGTGACTC